CTTATTTGTAACATCCTGCAAATTTTTGAATAACTTTATTGAACTTTTTCCATTAACATTAATTTCAGTTGTTTTGTTTTCCTTGGTTGCAAATGACCACCATACTCATTATAATTTTCTTCAATCCTTGTCCAAAAAGAAAATTATTTTTGGTTTATCCCAATAATTGGATCCTTTGAAATATTTAACCATGTTTGGATGAGAAGTTTATCTTCCTCCATGCTGAACCTTGATCTTTGTTGTTTATGAGTTGACTCTTCTTTCTCTTCTTCATCAAAGGTAACATTATTCAACCCAATTTGAGTTGAAAATAGTGGAACTTGCAATTTATATGCAAACCTATATGGTGTTTCTAGATCCCTTTCATAAGATTGACCTTCACTAGTACCCATTGAAGTGCCATGATCCATTGTGGGGTTAATTGGTGGTGATTGAAACATGAGGTATCCATATGAAAATGAAAATGGAAATTGAAAATTGTTCATATTTATGTTATTTTGTGGGTGTGGTAAATGTGGATAATTTTGAGAATTTGGATTAATGGGAGGTTGAAAATTTGACATGAAATTAAGATAGGGATTGAATTGGTTTAGATTTGGTTCCATTAAAAAAAATATAATTGAAAGTAGACAAAGAATGAAAGGGAATAAGAAAAATTAGGAAGTTGGTGAGTAAAAAATATACAATAAATTATATTTTATATAAGTTTTAATATATAAAATTATATTAAATTAATAATTTCGTAATGTTATAATAAACATACTTTATAGTAACATTAACTATTTCTTTCAAGACAATTTATTGTATAACCTTAATAAAATTGTATCAGATTTTATAATATTTTATTATATAAATTCATTTTTTAATTTGAAAAAATTGAAACACATCCATTCTTACATAAGTCTTTGCTGCTTTAATGAATCTACTGATAATAACAGATCTTATAAAGTGAGATCTTCGGAGGAACCAATGGGGGCATAAGCCTTTGTGTTGTGGATATCCTTAGGTAGCTTGGAGAGGAGGCTAGACATCTAGGAGACAAGGAAATACTTAAATCTAGTTCCACCAATCACAAATAAGTTCTAGGAGATATGTTTGGGACATATTGGAGACATCTAGTTCCACCAATCACAAACAAGCCCAATATCACTTTTGACTATTTTCACACCATCTAGAATGACTATTGCCACACCACTAGAATGGCTATTCCACACCACTAGAATGACTATTTCCACTCCAACAACTAAACTCAAAAAATAAAAATGGTGACTATAAATACAGGGTCAAAAAGAATACATTTCAATAACAAACATGCCTCTAAATCCTAAAGACATAACCTACAAACAAAGAAACATACACCCCTAAATATAAGGATAAAAACAACCTATACATTTAAGTACCACAAACAAAGAAATGGAAAACAAGTTATACAAAATATATACAATAGAAAACTAGACAACTAGGAAGAGAACACATATTTTATGCTCATGATAAGCACAAATGTAAGAAGCATATTCTCTCTAGTAGCTTCTTTTAGCCTTTTAACCATAGACCTTGTCAAAGGTCTTATGGTCTTCATGGATGGTCTTCCATCATTTTACTTATACAAATCTCTGAATCTTTCTCATTAATCTATTGTGTTCGTGCTGTTACACAATGTCTTAGGTTTAGTTTCAATGCCATCATTATAATTCTGATAGATAAAAAAAAATCAAATTGAACTATTTGTGTATTTATATGAAATAAAACAATTAAAAATATTAGCAAACTTCATGTAGAATGTGTCTAGAATGTAAGCATTTAGAATATGTAAGCTTCGGTACCAGATTATGTACCTATAAAAAAGAATGTGTATGCTTCTAAGTAGAACCTATCGTTTGTATACTCAGCAACCTTGTTTCGACAATTTCACACGAAAGTGAAATCATGGCTGTTGAGTTGATAGGTGGAACTTTTCTATCACCTATGATGTGGATTTTAATCGGTAGATAATGGGAGATATTTTGGTAAATTTCTCCATAAGTATTTTTAACAAAGAAAAAAAAAAGTGAAATAAATTTTTTCATGCGTTAAAATTGATTTTATATATAAATTAATTTGTAAAAGTTTTTTTTCTTCTGATTTATTAGGTTCTCTAAAATCCTATATTTAATTTATACATAAGTCAATTTTAGTATGTAAAAAAAATATTTTAATTTTTTTTTCAAGTTTCATTTTTCTTTAAAAAAGTTTATAAAAAAATTTATCCAAACAATTTTGTGTTTCATCAAACTTACGTTTGTAACACTATAAGTTGCGACACTGTTATATTACCCCTAGTTGTCTTAGGCAATTAAATTGAGTTGTCAGTGTTGAAAGGCTTGGGACCTAAGGATTCCTTTAGAGTTTCAGTGGTGTTGAGAGAGGGAGATCTTTAGGCGGAAATCCAATTTGACCACGGAGAGAAAAATATATAAAGTTTTTGTTTGAATAAAGCTTCATAAACTCATTTCCCTAAACTTTCTAGAGAGAGGATTCTAAAGAAATATGTCTCTAGTTCGTGAGTTTTTTTTTTCTCTCAATCTTTTTCTCTTCTTCTCCCAATTCTTTTCTAAGTTATGTTGTTGTGATTGAGGTGGTGAAAACCTTGAATCAAGTCATTGATCTCGTGCGGAGTCTCGTTCTCTTCTTCATCTCCCTTAGCTTTGAGTTACTTGAGGTAAGAAAAGCTAAACTTACTTTTGTGGAGTTGTTGAGTTATTAAAGGTTGTATTTGATTATATGTTGCATGAATTCATTTCAAGATATGAGTTATTTCAAGAACCTATTTAACATTTCTATGAAAATCTTATTATTCAATATCTTGTATATGTTTCATAACAAAAAGATGAGCTAGAAATATGCAATGGATTCTCAATTTTTTTTTTATTAAAAATCATAGAAAGAGTTTCAACCTCTCACAAGTTTTCCATCTAAATCGTCATTCATTATTGTGCTTGTAAAAAGCATAATCATTTTTAAATCATAAACTCAGACACATTTATATTTGACATAAGCAAATATGCTTCTATTAAAATGGCAAAGACACCATGAGTCGGTGCGCACACAATATACTCTTAATTGATGTGGTTCTGCGACTATAAAATAAAAACATACATTGATCTTATCCATGGTCTAGATAAAAAATAAAACCTAATAAATTGGTAATGTTTTCAAAGTATCTAATAATACTTATCGAATAAAACAAACAACCAACAGTTAAAACACAAGTGCGCAACATATTATAATTTGGGTCCATTACTCCAATCCATTCTCGATTTTCCAATTATGTATAATTTTATAATTTCCTGCAAGAACACAAGGTACGTATAATAAGCCATTTATGTAATTAAGCATGTTAGAAACTAAGAAAAATTAAAACAAGCAATAACAATTCGATGTGGTTGTTAAAATAAAAATATGAGAAATCATTTTATAAGAGACAAGCTCAATGTCCTACATCTTCCATTCAAATAAGAAATTAAGTTACTAATATCGATAATCAATTTGCATCTATGATAAGCATGCAAAAGAGTTCCTCTAAAATATATAATTGGCTAAAAATATCCATACAACGAGACAATTTATGAAGAATGACTTAAAAAAATTGTCAAAATATTATTACAATACATGCAAAAAAAAAATAAATTGCTTTGTTTGGTACCTGCAATGCTCTGGAATGGGTAGTCGTTGAAAGAGCCTTGGATGCTACAAAAGCAAAATGAAGCTGAATAATCAAGAGATCATGAATACATAACTTCAAAGATACATGTATATGGTTTACATGAACCCTATGATTGTCCTTCAATAAGAATAAGAAATTCTCTTGGATTGTATTTTAGAAAATGTTATGCTAGGCAAACTTTTGTACAAAATGCATAGATATGATTTCTAATTATTGGATAGTACTTGATCATTATCCTTTTCTTTTTATATAATAATCATTCTTCAATCTAGCTTAATTTTTTTTTGTTACCAGCATTTTAACCTAGTCTCTCATGATATTGTTTCTCAACAATTACCATACAGACTAACCAATGTTTTAAAATATAAGTTTCTTTTGTTATCTAGTACTCTAAATTATTAAACATGCACCATACATCCACGTTTTATCTCACGCGCAAGACAAACAATTTAAAAAAAAATCAAGAAAAAAAACTTTCATCATTAATCGAACCAAACATTGAAACCAAAAAGATATTTAACAAATATAGAACCATATGTATGATTCTAGGTTTTGAAATGACAAGTATAATGAAAATATAAGGAACTATATACAAAATAGGCAATTGATGTAGAAAGATGTATGCAATTTTTCATTAATGTCTCAACCTTATTATTTAATTCATAACAAGAATCATTTTTCTACGAGTATATGATTACAATCTAAGAGTTTCTTAAACCACATAAATCCTCATATACGTTGTATAGTTGGTACCTTCGAGATGGATATGTTCGTAAATGCATGTTCATCATCATATCAATGCAACCAATCAATAATGAGACAAATAATAAACTGATTGCAAATGTAAAGAAAATTCTAGGAATAAGAAATCAATTACCTCCATGTCCAAACAACAGCAAAAAGGGGTAGAGCATTCAAGGAAAGGGAATCCTGGCATCTTAAGATAAGCATACAACTTATTATATTTCTCAATCAGCCGCGTACCCACGGTGTTATAGTGATAGAAGTAATAGTAAATGTCATTTTTAAGCTTATAAAATATCACTTCATAGTAAGGATGAATACCTAAAAACTCACCATCCCTATTGACTTTTTTCATCAAAGGGACTCTAATATCAGCACAATTGATCAGGATCCACCCAAAGGTGCAACCATTAACCTCATCAAAGTACTCCATAGGCTTCCAAATCCTCAAATTCTCACCCAAAGAAACAAATACCACTTTTCCATTAATCAATGCAATGCACTTGTGGTAGTAAACATAATCATCATCTGGGAGCTCAATTGCCACTGCTTGCTACTTTGCACTCTCTTGTGCATTCAAAAGAAGCTTTATCACATGCCCTGATGTAGATAGCCAATAAATTGCACCCTTAGAGTACACTAATTTCTTATCCCATGTAGCCTCAGTCACATTTTGAGGCAATTGAAGACTCAAACTAGTCCAACACCCTGTCTCTGAAGAGAAAACATTCACATGACAACAACATTTGAATTGCACAATCCTAAAATACCATGACTCCGAAGGATCATAGGCAAGGGCAACATAGGAAGAATAAGGCGTGGAGTGTGGTAGAGGATTCAACACAGCCACACACTGCTTGGTGATAGGGTTGATCGCGTAATAGTGACAAGACCCATATGTTTGGTTCCCAGTTCGACCTTCATTGTGGCAAAACAAGAGCAATCCATTGAAGGAACCAATGATGTGTTTGGATAAATCAAAGTTGCAACCTATTACCTTAGAGCACCACCTGAAAAGATGAATTGTGTCCTTGAATGGGAAGGGATTGATGTCGTTGACTAAGCTCGAGAATCGATATTGAAAGGAATATTGACCATTGTTGTCTTTTCCCTCATTCTCTATGTAATCAATGTGGTCAAGGTTACGAGTGGCCAAAGATGATGTTGGGACACACGAACTAAGAATGAGGTTGCGCCATGGTTTTGACACACACATGGCCATCGAAAGGTGCTTAACAACAAGACGCTTCATTATTTCAATGTGGAGTTCCTTTGGTAGCATTTTGAACATGTCATACTTGGCTATAGGAACTCTCCTGCTCCTCTTCTTTCTTACAACCCATCCAATCTCCATTGAAAATGTTTAATTTGTTCACTTGGTAGAGAAAAAGAATGAGAACTGGGGTGAGAGAGAGATTGATCGAAAATGAAGAGAAGAACAAAGGCTAATTTGTCAGGTCAAGGTATAAACGGCAACAAGAGAGTTTGTAATAATCTCAAACACAAACATGAGTCTGTAAAGGAATCCATTTTCCTATATTCAATTGTTTTCTCGCTCATCATTTACAACTTTTTATCTACATTTAATGTTGATAAATCATAATAATGAATTTACTCTTAAATATTAATTGTTTCTCACTTATCATTTAATATTTTTTTCCTATTAAATATACTCTTTCATAAATTTATTTTCTTGAATTTTTGTTTTCATCACACTTATCATTTACTCTTTTTTATTTTCATTATATATATATATATATGGAAAATGTTGTCCGAAAAGAGAAGCCGAAATTTCTTCCGAATAATTAAAAAATTATTATTTTTTAATAAATTTATTATAAAATAATTATTTTATAATAAATTTATTAAAATATAATAATTTTTTAATTATTCGGACGAAATTTTGGCTTCCGTTTCGGATACTGTAGCAATGTTATATATACATATACTAAAACATAGTAATTAGAAGGGGGTTGAATAGTAAATATCAAAAACTTATATTTTTTGTACGAGAGTAAAGTAATATCTACAATAGATAAAGTGCTAGAAGAGTAATCAAAAGCACAAATAGAACACCAAGTAATTTTATATTGGTTTATTTCAAACACAGAGACTAAGTATAGTTTTTAATCCAACTAGATTGAGTTCCACTAACTTTCTTAAAGTTATAAATATTTTTTTCCAAGCCACTTCTAACTTTAAAACAAGTGTTCTTTGATGGGTCTTTCTAATTCACTACTGAAATATTCTTTTAACAAGTCTCTCTAGGCTCAACAACAAATGTTCTTTGACTGGTTTCTTCAAGCCATTACCTAAGTATTATTTTAACAATAAGTATCTCCAAGCTCAACAATCAAGTATTCTTTTACGGACAAATCTCTCCAAGCTCAACACTTAAGTATTTTTAACAAACAAACTTCTCCAAACTTAACCTTATAACAATAGTTATAAAGGTTACTCAAATGTTGTGTTCGTATCACTTAGACGTTATGCAACCAATTACAAAGTAGTAAATGTATACAAGAAAGAATAAATTTTCAGAGAGTGTTTCAATACAAATGTATATGTATTAATTACAAATATTGTCTCGTGAAAAAATTGTATAACCAAAACTTTCTTGAGCTTTTAAATCCTTTTATACAATAGCTTGTAGAAGATGACTATTACAGCACTTTGAGTCTAACTCACAAGTTTGCTTTGCTTATCTTCATCGTCTTCCTTGTGGTAATAGGTAACAATTTAACACATTTAATGAGAGCATTAAATGAATTTCACCAAATAGTACCTCTTATTTGATTAAGAAGACTACTTATCAAATTTCCATACCAAACAGAGCTTGTAGAAGCAATATCAACATAAAAGGAGTTGCAACAATGACTTTATTTTGTTTTTCTCCGTGATATTCGGTATATTTGATTCTGATAGAAAACATGGTTCTTCTCTTTAATAGATTTATGAGTTTCGATGTAACGACCCGACAGGTCCTACACAAACCACTGTACACTGGAAACACTAGACAGAACGAACAAGTATATAAGTATAGGTTCAAGAATATAAATATATACAAGGTCCTACTCCGACTAGAGTTAGAGTGCCAAAACAACAATACCAAACAAAATACATCGCCAACCGCTACACCTAGTAGCTACTACAAAAAAATAGCAATAAAACATAGTCACCTCCGCATACCAGCTGCCGACTCACCACGAGCCATACACCTATTCCTGTTTTGCTCCCGTACATTATACGATCATAGCAGTCCAACCACAAGGAAACAGCATAGGGTAAGCTAGTATAAAAAGAACAACATATAGCAAAATTTCAAATAATCAGAACAACTTCAACCGTCAACACAACAACATTCTACTTTCCATCAATTTATGCAACCAACCAGCAATTAGATATTAATGCGTCGTCACGCATATCACCTCGGAGATCTCCTACAACAACTCAGCCGTTTAGGCCTACAACAACTCAGCCCTTAGGCCTACAACAACTCAGCCCTTAGGTCTACAACAGCTCAGCCCTTAGGCTTACAACAACTCAGCCTTTAGGCCTACAACAACTCAGCCCTTAGGCCTACAAAAGCTCAATCAGTATACACCACTGCACAACTATACAACTCAACATCAACTTGCAACCCAATCACAACTCTACTTCTCATCATAAATCAACCAACACCATCTAGTAGTTATCACCTATAGTCATCCACTTCAACTCAACGTAGCATAAAGCAACATAATTCAATACATAAAAGGAAATGTCTCATCTCCGCGCCCGGCGCCCTCGTAGTTGCGTCCAGCGCAGTACAACCAGAGAGCCCCAGGGGGGGCAGCGCGCCCAGCGCACGCATGCTCGCGCTCGGCGGGACTCAGCCAGAGAGCACAAGGCTCTCCCGCGCTTGGCGCAATACCTATTACGCCCAGCGCAGGCCAGGCAGAGGCTCCAAGGAGTCTCACGCGCCCAGCGTACCTAACCCAGCGCTCAACGCGGGGAAGGCAAGGACCACCCTTGGTGTCGCGCCCAGCGCAATTCGGAATTGCGCCCAGCGCCCACGAGGCAGAGACTCCCAAGGAGTCTCACGCCCAGCACGACAAGGGCCGCGCTCAGCGCAGCCTCAAGAGTCCAAAAAACAAGTTACAACGGGTATCGCGCTTAGCGCAGTCCAAATCGCGCCCAACGAGGGCCAACCAGAGAGCCACATTCTTAAGCGCGCCCAGCGCACTCATCAAGGCGCTCAGCGAGCTTGGCTAAATGAGGTCTCCTGGTGGCCATGCGCCTAGCGCGATGAAAAACACTCAGCGAGAAGCTTAGCTGAAACCTTACCAAGTTTGAAAATTTTTCCAAACAGCTGCAAAACTCACTTTCCAGCACATGCAATCCAATCAAAGTACTACATTTCCACCCAAGAGCTCAAAGACAACATCTTTTTATACATGCATCCACAAAATCAAAGGAAACCAAGAATTTCCCAAAAACTCCCAAAGTCTCAAAAACTCAAATGCCACACCGAAACAGCCCAAAATTCGAAATCAAAATTCAATCACATGAGTTCTTTGCCTCGTTTCAGCCAAGCCACAACAAGAAAGCTAACTTCCCTTACCTCGGGTGAAGATTCCGAGCTCCGGGAAGTGGAAGACGAAGAATGGAGGAGAAGAGGGATTGGAGAAGAAGATGAAAGGAGCTCCGCAAGGGTTCAACAAGAATTTTCAACCTTCAATCAGCACCTTCAGCCACCAAAACCACAGTTCAAGAGTGAGAAGAGAAGAAATGAGAGTAAGAGCAAATGGGAGTGAGAGTTGAGGGTTCGGGGAAAGGAAAAAGGAAAAAGAAACCGGGTCTCACACCCTCCCCAACAACAAGAGTTTTCGTCCCCGAAAACTGACCTACTTGGAAAGAGAAACGGATATCGCTCCCTGCATTGCTGCTCCACCTCCCAAGTAGCCTCACCAGTAGCTGCATCCCATAACACCTTCACCAGAGCAATGGACTTGCCCCTCAACTCCTTAAGCTTATGGTCAATCACAGCTACTGGTAACTCCTCAAAGGTCAGATTCTCCTTCACCCGCACATCATCCCCCTCCCCTGCATCCCTCCGGTCATGAACGTACTTCCTCAGCTGGGAAACATGAAACACATCGTGTAGGTTTGAAAGAGATGGTGGCAAAGCCAAACGATAAGCAACCGGACCCACACGCTGTATAATCTGATGGGGACCCACAAACCTCGGTGTCAACTTCTTCGCCTTCAGTGCTCTACCCACACCTGTAGTCGGAGTCACCTTCAGAAACACATGTTCCCCTTCAGCAAACTCCAAAGGCTTTCGCCTCTTGTCAGCGTACGACTTTTGCCTACTCTGAGCAGTCTTCATCCTCTCCTTGATCATCTTCACTTTCTCAGTAGTTTGTAGGATCAGCTCCGGTCCCACAACCACTGACTCACCATCCTGATACCAGCACAGAGGAGTCCTACATCTCCTTCCATACAAGGCTTCAAACGGCGCCATCCCAATACTAGCATGAAAGCTATTATTGTACGTAAATTCCACCAACGGTAGGACCTCCTCCCAGCTACCCAAGTGATCCAACACACAAGCCCTCAGCAAGTCTTCCAAGGACTGGATTGTCCTCTCTGACTGACCATCCGTCTGAGGATGATAAGCAGAGCTCAGCTTCAACCTCTGAGGATGATAAGCAGAGCTCAGCTTCAACCTCGTGCCTAAGGCTTGGTGTAGACTCTGCCAAAATCTGGAAGTGAACCTCGAATCTCTGTCTGAAATAATACTGGAAGGCACCCCGTGCAACCGTACTATTTCCCTCACATATAACTGCGTCAGCTTCTTCAAGGACCACTTGATGTTGAAAGACAAGAAATGTGCACACTTGGTCAACCGATCGACAATCACCCAGATAGCATCACTATTCCTAGCTGACCTAGGCAACCCCACAATGAAATCCATAGTAATGCTATCCCACTTCCATTCTGGAATCTCAATCTGCTGCATCATCCCACTCGGCTTCTGATGCTCAACCTTCGCCTTCTGACAGGTCAGACAGGCCGCCACATATTCGGCTATCTCCCTCTTCATACCAGACCACCAGAAAGTCTTCTTGAGGTCCTCGTACATCTTAGTCATACCTGGATGTATGCTAAGTCTACTCTTGTGGCCTTCCTCCAACACAGCTCTCTTCAGCTCAGCATCCTGAGGTAGGCAAATTCTGCCCTTGAACCTCAAGATTCCATCTCCTCCCAACTCAAAGCCAACCGCCTTCTCGGTACCCAGCAAACCTAGAAGTTTCACCAACTCGGCATCCTACAACTGCTTGAGTCCAACCTGCCTCAAGAACTCATTAG